GGGGGCGGCAGTCGCGAAGGGGTGAAGGGGGGGGGGGGGGGGTGGAGAAAAAGGTAGTGGCATTGAATTCGTAAATGCTTGAACAAGAACAGTCCTTTCTCTGAAGCGAGCATGTATTGAACAGAAGGGAATGACCCTGCAGAGTCCTGCTGCTGTGGGTCTGAACTGCGAATCCCAGACACGTCTGGGGCAGCAGGAAAAGAAAGTGAACACACTGCCTATGCTGGGGGACTCGGATTGAACTTGAATCAGGAAGGGGTCTGGGACAGAAGTTTCATAACCCAGTTTGAGCTAAATCAGTTAAGTCTGATACTATATTCAGCCAGGTTTATTTTAAACCTGACTAAGCTATTTTTAGCCCACTGACTCTCCCTTCCCCTTCCCTCCCCTCTTGACCTGGACAGCATCCCATTTCCCCTCCAGTGGATTGCTAGCCCTGCCCCTCTCCCCACCCTCAGTTACTTACATTAGAGTGCAGCAAACCGCTGTATGCACCCAGAATCTACAGCTGTGGTTCTCCATCTTTCTTAGATTAAAGGCAAATCTGAATAGACTTGAGGTACCTCTTGGAAAATACCAGCCCTTTAATTTTAACTTTTTTTTTGCCTATACAAAATAATAGAGCAGCTTTTCTGTTGCAAAAAGCTCAGGAAGACCACAGATATGGATTTCTATTTAAAATCTCTACATTTATCTTGTGAGTCATGTTTGTACACCTAGCAGTGCTAACAGTGTGGTACCACATGGCACTCCTGTGAGGATCTCAAGGTACCTAAGAGCGCCATGACATTCTGGTTGAGATTCACTGGTTTACAGGCTTAAACAGAGCATAATGGCAGAGAACCAATCCATGCCAAGGAACATGAGTCAGAGTTAAATATCCCCTCATTAGTCAAACTTTGTTGTTGTTTTTATTCTGGCACATGTCAGGAGTTGTCTAATGGTTACAAACTGTGAACTTATTATGCCAATAAAAATAATTGAGAAAATAATTTAACTGAGTTATAGAATTACAAGATTATACTATTTTGTAATTACAAGATTATAGTATAATCTTGATTATCTGAGGCTTCCTGTTATTATAGCTCAGTCATGGACTCATTACAATGAAAATTAATTCAATTCTCTAAAATTACTCATTGTCCTTGTGACATTCTAATAATAGCAATTCTGTTATATTAGCAGAATCTTGTTTACAATGGAATAGACATTCCATTGTAAACACTCCCACTTTCTGTGATGCCGCAGTAATTCATCATCACTCTTGCAATTATGTATGAGGAGTGGAACAATGACCCAAAGTGTTTTTTTTTTTTTATCATATATAAGTAAAAAGGAAAAATACTTCATAACTCTTACCTCTAGCCCTCTCCCTCTATCCTCCTCTTCCATGATGGTCATTTCCTTGTGCTTTCCTTCCTTTTTTCAGAGACATCCTGATGTGCATTGTGCTGGGTTTGATTTCTCCTTCTTCCTCGCTTTTTTGACTGGGAGAGGAATGTTAGGAATTCTTTTAACTCTGACTGAACATGTCGCCATGTCTACACACTAAACTAACTATGTACAGCAGTGGTGCCCTTAAGCTTTGTATGGTCTTCCTCCCTAAACCAATAGGGGTGTAGCCCCAGAAGTGTAGCCCTGCAGGCAAACTAATTAGCAAGTGTAGGCTAAGTACCCCTTCTTTACAGGAGTGCTGCCCATACGCCGCCCATATGCCACCCATACTAGTCTGCGAAAAAGTGTGCACTTAGCTCCACTATTTTTGATTTAGGAGGAAGACCACACAGTGTTTCAGGGCACTACTACCAGAGGCCTTAAGTTTACCATGTAGATATGGTCTGAGTACCCCGGGGGTTACAAGAAATAATGGCCACAAGCTAGCAGAGAGCAGATTTAGACTAGACATTAGGAAGAACTTCTTCACAGTTAGTGACCAAGGTCTGGAATGGGCTCCCAAGGGAAGTGGTGCTCTACCCTACCCTGGGGGTCTTCAAGAGGAGGTTAGATAACCATCTAGCTGGGGTCATCTGACCCCAGCGCTCTTTCCTACCTATGCAGGGGGTCAGACTCGATGATCTATTAAGGTCCCTTCCGACCCTAGCATCTATGAATCTATGAGTACATTTGGCTAGAGTTCTGTTTGCAAATATCGCTGTTCAGGAACTATTTGATAAGTTTCCTTAGAAAATGCCAGTCACTAAAACCAGTGCTTGGTGGGAATGTACTTGTTTTGATGAAAAAGCTTTCTGAGGATCAGGTTTGAATTTGTTTGCAGGGAGAGACCAGACTAGCCAACAGTGTGGTGATGGGAGCACTCACCTGGGGCACAAGAGGTGGATTCAGACCACAGACTTTACTCTGGGTTTCTTACACCCCAAGTGAGTCTTCTGATCATCAGGTTGTTAGCTCTTCCCTGGTCTTGGTATGTGTGTAAGTGTGTGTTCATGAAATATTGCAGCAGATTTAATTTCATCCTGGTGCAGAATGGGAATACTTTTAACATCTAAAATTTTGGGGGACAGGAAATCCATTTCCCACCTAGCTCTAAAATGAAGAACTTTCACACTACTCAGGAAAGAAACTATTTGTTAAATCACATGGACACAGTTCTGTAGAAAAATGTCTTGTAATGCATGGGTTTATTTGGTTTTAATCTGCAATATGAAGCAGATTCACATCTTCCTCTGTTTAGCAATAACTTTGTGCTTTTTCTTCAGCATAAATAAAAATTATTATTACTGGGGAATGTGCTTGCTGTACACGTGACAATATGTGGCTTCTCTTTTTAAATTCACAGTTCCAGCTGAGAATGTTGCAACAATTGCAGAATGCGCCAGTGTGATTGAGGGTGTAAGTCGAAGTCGTAATGCGTTGCTGAATGGAGATACAAAAAATTATGACTGGGATTCTGGGTACACATGCCATCAGCTAGGCAGCGGTGCTATTGTGGTACAGCTAGCACAGCCCTACATGATTGGATCAATACGGTAAGAGGAATCTTTTTCTCTCAAGTAATAGCAGCAGTGAAATTTAAGCAGCCTGATAGATACAATTGCATTCTTTTGAATCAGCTTTGAACTGCACATACCCTTGTTAGCAATTATATCTTTGGGGATATTTTATTCATCTTTTTTTACAGTAGAACCTAGTATAATACTGTATGTCAAAATACACTCTTCCTATATCAGAGCAAGTCAGACTTATATGGAACATGCCTTCACAACAGAGTTAAGCCCAGACCTTCCTAAATTGTTGTTCCTGACTCCTTTCTCATCTAGGCACAAAACCACATCAGACTTCAGCACAATTGAAGTACTCTCGTTATGAATTAACTGGCTTGGCTGGGTGTGTTGAGATACAGCTCAGGTTCTTGTTTCACTCAGGGTGGTAAAACAGTCATTTAGCAGCAAAGAAGCAGGCTAAGTCATCCAAGTGGTGATAGTTCTTCAGTGTTTTTCACAGCTTCCTTCCAAGTTCTCCTTCCATCCATGGCAAAAGAATCATAGGGCATCATGCTTTATATCATGGCTGTCCAGCTGGTGGCCTACAGACCCCTGTCTCTCCCACTACAGTGCAGTGGGACAGAACCCAAGTAGCAGCTGTGCACTGCTGGTGCAGCCCATGCAGTAGTGAAGGATCCTGGGGGCCTGACCTCAGGGCAGATGGCTCATGTAGTGTATGACTTGGGGGCTATAAGCTGGCACAACATGCAACCTCTGATTGCACCAAAGTTGAATGACCCGGCTTTACAGCAACATAAAAGAACCATAAATATGCCTCCAGAAGCCCTAGTGGTGCCGCTCTAATGAGGACCAAGTATCTTGTGTATCACTTTGCAGTGTGGCAGCTCACATGCAGGCTATAAGTTTACTTAGCTACTCAGAATTGTGTTCTGATTACCTGGACTACCTCTGCAGTGAAGATTATACTCTCACAGAACAGTAGTTTCCAACTGGGGTCTTTGGGAGACCCTCTCTGACAACACAGACACTGTTGCTGTGGTGGCAGCAGCCAGGTAAAAATGCCCTGCACACAGGGCCTGCAGCACACACATACACCTCCTGCATTACAGCACTGATCACCCTTAAACATGCAGGAGAGCAGGTTTGTGCTGTAGTCCTTCCTGGTCTAGTCCACCCAATACTTTTCCTGGAAATAGACATGCACTGGATCATTCCAACTGTCCCATGTGCCTCTGTTTTTGGGAGATACTGTACAAGGATGGAATGGGGAGGGCAGCAGTATTAGGCAGCTCTCCTACCTGTTTTAGACTGATCGGATAACCCTAATGCTGGAGTAGCACATGTATGTGCCACAGTCCTTCCTGATCTGGCTGTACACCAACCGTGTGGGACAGTTTTACTTGTCGGAGCAACACCAAATTGAGAACCACTGAGTTAAGTGGAATACAACAGTGGTTCTCAACTGGGGTTGCTGTTGCACTCAAAATAGATGAAGGTACAAATAGAACCATTCCTAAGTACTAAGAGAGAGTACTTTTTCCAACTTTTGAACCCTTTGGCTTTGAGCTGATTGTTTTTTCACTAAGAAAATTAAGACAGTGAAGTCCTGCATATTTATCTACCCTGCTGCTTTCTGTACATCTATATCATTATGTTGTTGGGAAATATGTTTGTGCCTTGGGTGACATGCTGAAAATGGAGAGAAGAAATTTTGAAATTATAGTATATGTCAGGGGCAGGCAATTATTTTGGGCAGAGGGCCGCTTACTGAGTTTCGGCAAGCCATCAAGGGCCTCATGACAGGCAACCCAGGTAGATTTAATATTAATTTTCTACATTTTTTAGGGCCCTGCGGGCCAGATAGAATAGCCTGGCGGGCTGCATCCGCCCCGGGCCGCATTTTGCCCACCCCTGGTATATGTAAATGAAGCTGGGAAACTTAGTGCAGGCAGAGGTTAGCAACAGTTGCCTGGCCCAGGCAAACATTTAGTGCTAGAAACTAGGGGTGTGTGAAGGGGAATAGGAGATACTTTATTTACTAGGGCACCCCCTGGAGTAACTAGGAACAACGGCCACAAATTGACAGAGAGCAGATTTAGGTTGGACATTAGAAAGAATTTCTTCACAGTAAGGGTTGCCAGAATCTGGAATGGGCTTCCAAGGGAGGTAGTCCCTTCTGACCCTAACATCTACGAATCTCTGAAGTGGGCCCGAATCAGGGACAGTGATTCAATTCGTGCCCCCCCCACCACAAACCCAAGAGGCACCAGTTGCTGAGCCAGGGAGGTGCAGGGGGGTCCCCCCCAGCACACTCCCTGGCAGACCTGGAAGTGAACCAGAAGTGTTTCTGGTCCACCCTCCAGGTCTTCTGCCGAGTGCGCTGGGGAGCCCCGCGCGCTTCTGTGGGACACTCCACGTGCCCCAGCATCGCAGCATTCACGAGCTGCCTGCTACCTAGAGGTATGTAGAAAAAACATTTAAAACTGTTTCTATGACCAAATCACCAAATCTTTCCAAATCAATTTGGAGGGTTCCACTTCGATTCAGAGATGTTAAAGGGTCCTCTGATTCAATTCAGAGATTCAGCCACCAAATCAGGCTGGATCTCCCCCAAATTGAATCATGGACCAAAGCTTCACACAGCCCTACTAGAAACCAGATGTATGCCTTCCTCCTGTTAGGATGGGGTAGCTGCCTTATTAGCCAGTCAGAGTTTAACTCAGTCTTGTGACACTTGATTCTCCTTTTCTACCTTTGTATAAAAAATGAGATACATTGGTCCATCCTGAAGGAGTGAAATGTAAAGAGTTTCTCCTCTTTTCTGTCCTCTTCTTGTTCCCATTATACCATAAGAACTTATACATGTGTTCACTTAAAATTGGGGCTATCCTTGGAAAAGTGAAGACTTGGCAAGCCTATTTTTTAGTACTCTTAAAAACTGAAGGAAATATTCACTCCCCTTCTGATAAACGTGTGTATTCTGGTTTTGGTTTGCAGCAAATTATTGTGGCAATTATGAATATTTGAAGATCAAGGGTAATATCAGATGTGCTGACAATTCAGAATAGCATAATAGCATTCATAGTTTTCATTGTGATGCTTCTATAGAAATTGCACAGAATTGGAGTCTAGGGTTGTTGTCTTTGTATTGAAAACATTCAATGAACAAATTTATTACAATCAGTACCTTGGCAAAGTGAATATTTTGTACTTTTGAGTTGGGGTTTTACATGTTCAGCCAAGTATCATGTGGGAAACAGAAAAACTGCATTACTCAAATGTCTTAAAAGTAGGTAATTGAGAAGTAATTACCATTTTCATGTCAATTTAAAAACATTAAAATTTAAGTAACAGAAACCTTTAGAGGCTCAGCCACATAAAAGATTAGGGGAAAGATGTAATAACTAAACTATGTAATTTCTCAGTTTATAGTCCCTCTGTCTTCCTATCAAGAGACTCCCTTTTATTTTTCAGTTAGCAAATTGTGATTTTCTTTTCACTATTTTCAAGTTAATGCAATAAATGGACGATTGTCTGTATGAAACCTTATGCTACCATCTATTCTGTTCTAACAGAACTAATTTTAATAAATCTCATTTTTAAACCATCTATTAAATGAACTGGATTTTTGGATGCCAAGAACTGATTGTTATACAATTGGCTTGTGTACGATGTAAATAAAATATAAATTATATTATAACTAAGGGAAAATGTTGGCACAAAAACAAATAGGTACAATCTGGCCATGAATAAATTTATTTGGGAAATTAAAAGAGGGCTTAAAGCAATCATAGTTCAGTGAGGCTTTGAAACAGCCTTCCAATAGGAGCAGTGAAGACCAGAAATCCAAAGAGTTCTTCAAATGGAGTTTGATTAGCTTAAAAACAGGGTTTGTATGGTGTAGCTGCCTGCAGTAGCAGCCAACTGGACTCATTTACCCAGGAACCTCCTTCCAATCCTGTATTCTTTCACATTTATCACTAAAATAGTTATAGAGCCAATAAAAACCTCCAGAAGTCAAATGTCATCACTAGTTTCTCATTTGCTTTGATGTAGAAGCTCTTACTTGTATTCCCTGTTAACTCAAGTCTCATCAAGTGCTAATTTAAAAACGTATCAGCAGCAATTCTGTCTCTTTCTAAAATGTAAACCCCCTTAAATAGCTCCGGGTG